CCCAGTGCCCAACAATTACTTTTGAAATCCCAGTTATTTACTCAAATCTTCTCTTCCAAGATAAAAGTCCATCTAAGCTACAGCAGTATCTTAACTGTGACTGGGAAGAGTATTAATCTACATATAGACATTGATTCCTTTGTTTTAAAGGAACAATCTCTTAATTCTTGTTTATCTGCCTTAATCATTTAACAAAATCATCCATTTCCTCCCTTACTTCCTGCTTTATCCTAAAATGCCTGGTAGAACATGGTGAGTTTCAGGGAGGACCAGGCACTCCAGTTGTCTCTTCGCATTTAGTGTAGCTGGTGGAAATGTTGGTATCATCATCAGGAATACCTCAAGTTAAGTTATGTAACATAACAAGTGCTGAGGACAGGTTTAAACCTCAGGATAAAACCCATAACATAAGGAAAAGAATAAGGGCTAGGACAGGATGAGGTCTACTGCCACAAAGTCATACAGGGCCCTCAAGAACAACAGTTGGATGTTGTCCTGCTTTAATTCAGAGAGCATGGTGCAGAAGAGGTTGATGTTGTCAATTTATGATACTTTCTTTCACACATCTCAAAATACATTTGGAGCATCTTTTTGATAGGAAACTTGTATTCCTTCAAATCAGCATATTTTCATGATCTAGTAATATTCTATTCTGTAACATACATACAATTCATTATTTTTTTGGAGGGAAAAAAAAAGAAAATGAGCTGGAGTTCCTTGTGGGCTTCTCTTTCAGACTGCCTTAGGTGTATCAATAAATACTTTACCCATGTATTAAAAAAAAATGAAAGTAAACCATGGAATAATCAGGTGTAAAAACAGATAACAGAATAGCTCTGCCCAATTCTATTTTTAAGCATCTGCAGAGAATATAAAGAACTGTTGGTAAGAAAAAAAAATCCGAAGTATGTATTTTGAAGTACTTAGGATTGTAATAAACACATGCTGGGCATTTGGTTAAGAACTTTTAAGCACCTATGATAAATTACAATGTATAATTAATAATTCTAATATCCTTCAACTGATCTCAGGAATCTTCTGCTACAAATTTTATATTGCTTTATAGGGAGGATAATAGAATTGTTGAGAAAATAAGTTATATTAACTTCTAACAGTATTTCTTCTTTTTTGTTCACTACATACTATTTAATATTTTCCTTTGTACACTTCTTGATAGTTGAGCTTTAAGTGAAACTCTGAAAAACAACATTAGGATTCAAAATACAGTGGAAGATTTTATTTTCAGGGTCACAAGTAGCATAGCGAGATTTCTCTCTTAAACAATGACACTTAGTATCTCTGTAGTTCTATGAATACTTTTGAAGTGTCATATTAAAACCAATCTCTCGGCCTTCAGGCAAAGAGAAGCAATTAGTCTTGGAGTTGTGAATAAATAAAAATCCATTTATATACCCGTCCTTGACACGTACCTTGCAAATCTTAGAAACTTCATCTAGTGGGAAAAGAAATGTTAAATCATGAACACCAATACTAATCATACCGCAATGCTGCTTCCTCAAACTGTTTAGTTTATATCAATCTTTTAAGTATTGATTCATATGTATATATTCATACATATTGAAACAAAACAACAGAAAAGCACTCACACACTTGAGTGAGAAGAAAGAAATGAGAGCGTGCATATAGAGCTGTAACGCGTACCTTTATTACCCTCAGCATTAATAGAGGCAAGAAAAAGCACAGATCTCCCAAGTACATTGTCCTTTTCTCAGATCCAGTAAAAACAATCCCGCACAAGTTACGTACCACGCGCAGGATTTTCATCCCAAGTGCTACCGTGTCTTTGCTTTGATCTACGAGCAAACAAACAAACCGAATCTTTATTATCCGTGCATCCCGTTTCCATGCAGCACAATTAAACAGTGCCTGTCACAGGTGTGTTGGGATGAGTCAGATCACAATTTCTACTTTTCGTACAAGTGCAGTATTTTTAGGTCTTCTCTTCCCTCTTTAGCGTGCCTCAGTGCAGAAGTATCCTATTTTTACGCTGCTCTAATTGCTGTTTGAGATTCTCATATTTATTTTTCACTTAGCAGTCAGTAATTCACAATGGAAGTAAAAATTATGATGCCAAGTCATTCCAAATAGTCCTTACAAAAGGACCCTTAGAAAAAATCTGAGTGACGCTCGGGCTGAGCGGCAGGTCGCCGTCTCAGCAGAGCTCGTCCTGCCCGTATCCACTTGTTGACCAGAGTGCTGAGGAAATGAGAGTGCTCAGGCTACAGCCCTGTGCAACCATCAGGTGAGGCAGCTGGCTGGGGACACGCTTCTGTTCCGAGCTTATTTTAGAATAAAATCTGCCCCTTTGCGCCGTGCTCGCAGAGGCAGAGATCCCCAGCCTGGAGGTCAGAGGTGGGACAGTGACCCCCACAAAGGATCACACCTGGGCTGATGGGATGGTCAAGGAAAACAAATTTTAGTCTGTTCTGGATGCAAATCTCTCTGCTGACCTAGTTCTCATTCTCCTTTTCATTTCAGAAGCTCAGCTAAAAATCCATAAATTAAGGAAATTAACTGATGGAGCCTCCGGCATCTTTGTAAGCTATTTAAATCTTTAAATTTACAACATCTTCTGCATATATCAAGTAATTGAACTAACTGCAGGGATGTAACTTTAATGAGAAAATTTCCCTCTTCTCCTGTAGTTTGTACTCTAGAAGGAAAAAAAAAAAAAAAGAAAAAAAAAGAAAAAGCTCCCCTAAGGAGAAAAGTTTCTGTTTATTCCTGCCACGGACGAAAACTTTAACCCCCCCCAGTTTTAGGGGTGTCGTGCCCGCATGGCGGCCCCGCCGCTCTCGGGCCGTGGCGGCGCAGGCCCCGCGGCGCGGGGGGCGCGGGGGGCGCGCGGGCCTGACCTCGCGGGGCCGCGCAGCGTTGCGTAACGGCCGCGCGGCGGCGCGCGCTAGCGGGCGCTGCGGCCCCGCCGAGCCGCGCGCGGCGCCTCTTCCGCGGGCGCGGAGAGTGCGGGACCGCCCCGCCCCGAGCGCCGGGAGCCCCGCGGGGCCGCCCGCCGGCTGCGGCGAGCTGGGCGCGGAGCGACCCCGCACCCTCCGCCAAACTTCCGTGGGGAGCAGCGCGGAGGCGGGGGGCGCATCCCCCGCGGCGGCGCGCAGGAACGCGCAGGCACCGGCAGACCCGCGCCTCTGGCTGAAAGTTGAGGGAGAGATTTGCCCCTTTTAATTTGATTTTATTTTTTTCTCCCCTTCACGGTGGGGGTTCCCTGCCGGTCCCCCCCGGTACGTGGGCCGGGCGGGCTGCGCGCCCGCGGAGCCGCCCGCGGAGCCCCGCGCCATCGCGCCGCGCGCTCTAATTGAAATGGCGCTTTTGGCCGGGGGCGGGCTGCCAGGGCGCTCCGCAATAGCACAATGCATGTCGATAGACGTCATTTGGTTTTAATGGCCTACAGGAAATTTGGCGTTTACAATGCGAGACATTAGCAAAGGGTGAAAGGGAGGGGGAGGCAGGCAGGATGGATGGCTGGGAATAATTGCAGCCCCCCACCCCCCCCCGCCGTCCCCGAGGCCCCCCGTCCGCACCTCGGCGGCGCTGGGTGCTGCAGGGAAGGGGGGGGTGGGGGCTATTTTTTTATTATTTATTTTTTAACTTCATCTAGTTTATCAACAAGTGCAGAGTGGGTGCTACCCTAATTGTAACAGAGGAGTCAAGAGATGTGAGAAACGTGCCCTGTGTTACTTATTTGGGAGCTGAAAATTTATGCCTAGTTGAAAATGCCTGGGGAAATATTACATCAGACCAAATGACAATGATTAAAATCAGCTTTCCCCCCCCCCCCCCCC